GAGGGTTTAGTTTAATACTAATGGAAACCTTTGTCAGACACGAGTGAAGAGTTCCCAAGAAAACGGACAATTTGTTTTTGTGTCCCCTATGTTCAGCTCCAGTGTTTATAACTCAAAATTTCATAGGGGAATAAAGAGGAAGAGCTTTGATTTTCCAAACTCATGCATATTTCTTGGGAAGCTCAGGACAGTGTCCTCAGTGAGTTTGTTTATTTTTATTTTTTTATATATCGAAGAGTCCACATTAGAGCATAGTTTGTTAGAACTTTTTTTTTTTTAAATATATTTTATTGATTTTTTACAGAGAGGAAGGGAGAGAGATAGATAGTTAGAAACATCGATGGGAGAGAAACATCGATCAGCTGCCTCCTGCACATCTCCCATTGGGGATGTGCCCGCAACCCAGGTACATGCCCTTGACCGGAATCGAACCTGGGACCTTCCAGTCCGCAGGCCGACGCTCTATCCACTGAGCCAAACCGGTTTCGGCTTGTTAGAACTTTTTAAGCCCCTTTATTTCTTGCTTAATCCTGCTCTATATCCTTCTAAACAAGAACTAAGAACCTGGGCATTGACATGTTGAAGCTGCAATTTTTAGGTGTATTGCTCTTTTTAATATGCTGAGGGAATCAAGAAGTAGGTTATTAAAACCTCCATTCTCAAGTGTTTACCCTTTGCTTCCTGCACATGGCAGTTTAGAGAAACCTCATTCACTCTGATTGTGTCCTCTTGGAAGGTGTGATAATTCGGACAGGCCGAGCTAACATGAAACTTGGTACTTTCTATTAAAAATAACTTCGCTCAGCCCTAGCTGGTTTGGCTCAGTGGATAGAGTGTTGGCCTGCAGACTGAAGGGTCCTGGGTTCAATTCCAGTCAAGGATTAAAAAAAAAATACTTCTCTCAGCAATTTTCTAGTGTCAGCAATGGGACTACAGGGTGAAGACCATTTTTTGTTGTTGTTGCTGTTAATCCTCACCCGAGGGTATTTTCCCATTGATTTTTAAAGAGTGGAAGGGAAGGGGAGAGAAACATCAATGTAAGAGAGACACATCGATTGGTTGCCTCCTACACGTGCCCCACCAGGGCCAGGATCAAGCCTGCAACAGAGGTATGTATCCTTGACGGGAATTGAACCTAGGACCCTTTGGGCCGACACTCTATCCACTGAGCCAAACAGGCTAGGGTGTGAAGGCCATTTTTAGGGGCAATATTTGCTTTGAGAAATAAGCATGCCAAAATATAAAATAATTTGCTTAAAATTTGCCAGGATAAACACTCACTTCTCTTGTCAGTGTTACTAAAGATGTGGGGGAAAAAAAGTCCGCCATTCTTTTCAAATGTTTTATAAGTGAGATATTTCAGTTCCTTCTGGATAAATTATTGAGATCTGGTCAATGTCCGCATCAGTACCTAGAACTGAAGAACTCCTATGGATTCCATTTTCCCCTTAAACTATAATTATACTGTGGTATCTTCTCCAGTCCCTGTCCTTATTTTAGGGAGATAGATTTTATGCTGAAAGGTATATGTACTTTTATTTTATACATTTAATACTCATAAAAGATTAAAACAAACAATTTAATTAAGCTTCTCATGATGTAAGCACAGTCTACTAGACACTGTTCTCTAGGGTATAAGATGCAAGGAATCCCAGAAATATGTATGGTGGCCCCAAATTTTAAAAAGATATTAAGTTTTAAATGTAAGCTATAACTGCTTCTCTTTATTCATTATCTAGGTGGCTGACAAAGAATGGAGTAATAAGCTAGGTGGAAACTCATTCCTTTGAATTGATGTTTCATTTTTATAAGGAAAAAATTCACCTATCACCTCAAATTTTTCATTAATTTGGTAGGTCTTAACAAACCATGAGTCACCGCCGTGGGGAACAACTCGTACCTTTTTTTATCCAGTCTGAAAAGTGACTGTGTCGGGTGGGTGGTTTTAAAAGTCCCAAACAATGGCTGTTTTATAGCTAGTGGCCCACTGTTGTTAAAACCTCACAGCTTCTCTCCTCCCCAGGCATGACGGAGATGGTGCGTAAAATTACTCTGAGCAGAGCAGTGAGAATTATGCAGAATCTCTTTCCTGAGGAGTACAACTTCTACCCTCGCTCTTGGATTCTGCCTGACGAGTTCCAGCTCTTTACTGCTCAGGTAGATGGCACTCCGTCCCATGGCCTTGAATCATACTGTGGTTGCGACCGTGTCCTGGGTTCTGTGTGCTGGGAGCTGGGGCCAGAGGTCCCCAGGGAGCTGAGACTGGACAAGGGAGTGTCTAACAGTACACAGTTGGTGTTGGCAGCGACCACGGCAGATTGCAGAGTTGAACAGGTAGGGTGACAGGTAGGTAAACTGAAGAAGTGGGTCCTGACATGAGGAGACAGTCCTGATACTGATATTTGGAGCTGCATCAGGAGGTCAGGGTTTGGGGAGCCAGGGAGACAGAGCAACAGAGCTGGAGCAGATGGCTGAGCCCATACGAGGACTGGGACTATTTGAGTGAATCCTGGAGGTGTGGTCCCAGGGTATGAAATGTGGGAGGTCAGGCTCCGCTTCAAGGCCAGGGAGTAGGTCTGACAAACTGAGGGGCGGGGGAACCTTTTAAGTGTCAATTTGTTCCAGAATCAGTTTTCAAATCACCCATTCCATATTGAAGCAGTATGTTTGAGCATGAAATATTTCGTTGAAAACCAATCGGCCATATATGTTTTGGTCTGTTTCTGGACTCTACTTTGTTCCATTCATCTGTGTGTTTACTCTTAGCTAAGAAAGCTATGGCTTTATAGTCAGTCTTATCAGGTCGTGCCAGTCTTCCCACTTGGTTTATCTTCAGAATAGTTTTGGCTACTTTTGCATCTCTGGGTCAATTTTATAATCAGTTTGTCCCATTTCTACAAAGAAGCCTGCTAGAACTTGGAATCTACAGCTCCGTTTGGAGACAATGGACATATTAACAATGCTGAGTTAGATACATGACTTTTTATTTTTTTAAAAATTTAAATATATTTTTATTGATTTCAGGGAGGAAGGGAGAGGGAGAGAAAGATAGAAACATCAATGATGAGAGAGAATTATTGGTCTGCTGCCTCCTGCATGCCCCCTGCTGGGGGTCGAGCCTGAAACCTGGGCATGAGCCCTTGACTGGAATCAAACCCAGGATCCTTCAGTCTGCAGGCCAACACTCTATCCAGCGAGCCAAACCAGCCAAACCCATTGACCCCCTGTACCCTCTTCCCACTCCCTCCCCAGGCCTTCACCAATCTATTGTCTGTCCATGGGTTATACATATATGCATACAAGTTCTTTGTCTACTCTCTTCCCACTCCCCCTTCCTTTATTTATATCTTCCTTAATTTATCTCAGCAGTGTTTTATAGCTTTCCCTACAAGTTTTTATTTTTTATGCTATTGTAAATGATATTTTTGAATTTCATTTTCCAATTGTTTGTTGCTAGTTATAAACATCCAAGTGGCTTTTTAATTTTGAACTTGTATCATATGACCTTGCTTGATTCCCTTATTAATTCTAGAAGTCCCTTTTTGTAGATTTATTAGGATTTTCTATGTATACAATTAATTCATCTGTGAACAAATGTTATTTCTTCCTTTGTAACCTATGTGCCTTTTATTTCTTTTTCTTGTTAAACTGCCCTGGGCTAGGACCTCTATACAATGTGGAACAGAAGTGATTAGAGTGGACATCCTTGCCTTGTTCCCAGTCTTTGGGGGAAGCATACAGCCTTTCACTGTTACATATGATGTTAATGTTAACTAGAGGTTGTTTATAGATGCCCTTTATTAACTTGAAGACGATGTCTTCTATAGTTTACAGAAAGTTTTTCATCATGAATGGGTGCTTAATTTTGTCAAATGCCTTTATGTATCTATGAAGATGATATGGTTTTTTTCTTTATTTTGATAATATTATGAATCACACTGATTAATTTTTTAAATGTTAAACTAACCTGATATAAGTCCTACTTGGTTCTAATATATTATTCTTTTTATATACTGCTAACCTCTACTTGCTGACATTTTGTTAGGATTTTCTGTGTCTTTGTTCATGAGAAATGCTGGCATTTGATGTCTTTGTTTGGTTTGGTATCAGGCAATCTTCATTAAGTGATTTGGCAAATGTTTCTTCTATTTTTTGAAGATTTTATATAATACTAGTATCATTTCTTATATGTTTGATGGAATTCACTATTGGAGGTATTTGGGCATGGAGCTTTCTTTCTGGGAATATGTTTCTTTATTTTTAAAAATACATATAGATAATTTTTATTTCAAGGGACTAGTCCATTTCATCTAAATTGTCAAATCAATTGACATAACATTTTTAAAAATAGTATTTTCTTATTATTTTTTAACATCTATGAGATATGTAGTGATCCTCCCCTACTTCATTGCTAAGATTGGTAATTTGTGTTTGCTTTTTTTTATGATCAGTCTAGCTAAAGGCTTATTAATATTTTTGTTCTTTTCAAAGAACCAATTTATGATTTTATTATCTCTCTTGTTTGTCCATTTTCTATATCATTTTATTATTTCTCTCTACTTCTTTTGGGTTTACTTATCTCTTCTTTCTAATATAAAAAAGCTATTTTATTTATTATTATTTTTAAATGTTAATTCTTTATTATATTAAGTTAAAAGCTATTTTAAAGGGGAACCTAAGTTCATTGATTTTAAACATTAAAGCAATGTTTTCCTCTCAGCATTGCTTTAGATCTTGGAAATTTTTGTATGTTACATTTTCATTACCATTAAGTTCAAAATGTTATATAATTTCCCTTGAGATTTCTTTGACCCCTGGGTTATTTAGAAATGTGTTGTTTAACTTTTAAATAATTTTGGAATTTTACCAGTATCTTTTGTTATTGATTTCTAATTTAATTGTTGACATAAGAATATGTATTCAGTATTACCTTGCTCATTTTAACTTTATTGAAAGTTGTCTTATGACCCATTTACGAAGTTGTCTTATTCCGGTCAAGGGCATGTACCTTGGTTGCAGGCACATCCCCAGTAGGAGGTGTGCAGGAGGCAGCTGGTCGATGTTTCTCTCTCATCGATGTTTCTAACTCTCTATCCCTCTCCCTTCCTCTCTGTAAAAAATCAATAAAATATATTTTAAAAAAAAAAAAAGAATATGTATTCAGTATTACCTTGCTCATTTTAACTGTATTGAAAGTTGTCTTATGACCCATTTACAAAGTTGTCTTATGACCCATTGTCTATATTGGTGAATGTTTTATGTGCATTTGAAAATAAAATGTACTCTGGAGTTGTTGGGATAGCATCCTACAAATGTCAATTAGGTCAAATTGGTACTTGGTACTGTTCACGTATCCCTTACTTATTTACTGCCTACTTGTTCTGTCAGTCATTGAGAGAGTATGTTGAAATTTCCAACTCACATTGTGGACTGTCTCCTCATTTTAGTTATGTCAGTTTTTGCTTTACATATTTTAAAGTTCTGTTCTTAGTTTGATGATTTGACTCTTTTATAAGGTAACTTTCCTTGTCCTGAAGTCTACTCGATATTAATAAAACACCTCTGGCTTTCTTTGGCTTAGAATTTTCATGGTATATCCTTTTACCAGTGTTTTACTGTTAACCTGTCTACATTTTTTAAAGAGTGCTTCTTTTTGACAGTGTGTTATTGGGGTATGGTCTTTTATCCAGGTTAACAACCCCTGCCCTTTAATTGGTGTGTCTAGCCCATTCATACTTAATGTAATCACCAATATGGTTGGATTCAAGTATGCCCTCTTGCTGTTTCTTTTCTATTTATACTATATGTTTGGATTAATTGAATATTTTTAGTGTTTTGTTTTATCTTCTCTTTAAGCTTCTCAGTTATACTTCTTTTAAAGGTGTTTTTTAGTTTTTCCCCTGCCCCTAGAATCTAGGGTTTACAATGCATCTTCAACTTACCACATTTACCTTTAAGTATTTCCTACCTCAAGTAAAATATAAACATCTTACAACATTATATTTCTATTTCCACTCTTGTTCTTTGAGCTATTATCATATATTTTACTTCTGTGTTATAAACCTCATAATACATTATTATTTTTGCTTTGAAAAGTCCATCTATATATATAAAAGCCTAAGTGACTGTTACAACCGAATGACTGGAATGACCAGAACGACTGGTTGACCAGTCGCTATGATGTACACTGAACACCAGGGGGCAGATGCTCAATGCAGGAGCTGCCCCCTGGTGGTCAGTGCGCTCCCATAGCCAACCTCCCATGGCCGCAAACCTCCTGCGGTCCCTCCCCTTGTCCAGCAGGCCCTGTCCAACAGGCCTCGGCCAGCAGGCCCCCAGGCCCCAGCCAGCAGCTGGCAGGCCCCGGCTGGCCCAGCCTCAATTGGGACTGGGCGAGATGGCCCCAATAGGCCCTGATCGCCAGCTAGGCCTAGGGACCCCACCTGTGCACGAATTTCTTGCACCGGGCCTCTAGTTACTTATAAAGAAATTGAAAAATGAGTATATTTGTCTTTTATACTCACCCATACATTTACATTTTCAGAATTCTTCCTTCCTTTGTGTAGCTCTGGGATTCCATCTGGTATTTTCTTTCAACTTAAAGAATTTTCTTGCAGGTCTGCTGGTGACAAATTCTCTCAGCTTTTGTTTGTTTGGAAATGCCTTCAGTTTTGTAAATGTTTTGAAATAATTTTGGACTTACAGAAAAGTTGCAAATGTGTAGTAGAGAGTTCACATATACCCTTCATCTAGCTTTCCTTATTATTAATATACTAGAGGCCCGGTGCACAAAAATTTGTGCACTCGGCGGGGGGGGGGGGGCGGGGGGGTCCCTCAGCCTGGCCTGTGCCCTCTCGCAGTCTGGGACCCCTCGGGGGATGACCACTTGCTGGCTTAGGCCTGCTCCTGGGGGATTGGGCCTAAGCTGGCAATCAGACATCCCTCTGGCAGCCCGGCAGCCCTCAGGGGATGTCCACTTGCCAGCGGGGAGCAGGCCTAAGCTGCAGTCGGACATCCTTAGCGCTGCTGAGGAGGCAGGAGAGGCTCCCACCACCACCGCTGTACTGGCAGCCATCAGCCTGGCTTGTGGCTGAGCAGAGCTCTTCCATGTGGGAGCTCACAGACCACCAGAGGGCAGCATCTGCCACCTGGTGGTC